CACACACACACACACACATCAGCAGTACATCCATCTCTCTCTCTCTCTCTCTCTCTCTCTCTCTCTCTCGCTCGCTCGCTCGCTCTCTCTTTTCCAGTTTATACACCTAGCTAAGACTCCCTCTCCCAGAGATCGCTGGGAGGATGCGGTTGACGGATGCGATTCATGTGACCTGGCAATCAGCCGAACTCGGCATCAAAAATCGAACTGCGGAATCTTCCTTTCGCCCTTGCCACGTGTCGTCCGATCCATTATACTAAGTACCTGCATGCGAAACCTTGAAACAGCTTACCTCGACCCTATCAATGAATCAACAGCTGAACGGATCCATTATACTAAGTACCTGCATGCGAAACCTTCTTGAAACAGCTTACCTCGACCCTATCAATGAATCAACAGCTGAACGGATTTATATACACACTTGGTGAGCGGGAGCAGAAGCAACGAAAGCAATGGCAAACAACCACCGCAGGAGACTGCAGTCATTTGTCTTTTTTTTAATCCCGTTTCCAATTAAATAAATGCATTCCAATTGAATCCATGTTTGAAAGCTATATATCCAAAAAACGAAGTAGCAAACGAAAAAAGAAATGCAATAAAAAAAAAAAGATTTTCAGAGACTCCATGACATCACCAATAACTGCGCACTGATTGATATGAAGCCACTCTCCTTAGACTACCACCAGTAAAGTCGAGACGACTTTTTCTTTTTTTTATTATAAAAAAAAACTTCCATCCAGTGCGCATATCGGACAAAGAAAAAAGACAGATAGAAAAGAATCAGCCCCAGGCGGGTCGGTATATTGAAAGCGTGACATATTGAAAGGCGGGTCGGTATATTGAAAAAAAAAAAAGGATGATTAACGCATGATTAACACATGTCACATGACTGACACTGATTGAGGATAATATATTTCTATTAAAGGATTATTACCAGATATTTCTATACTATTTTAAGAACTATTGACAATAATAATTTAAACACAGCGGAATAGACGAAGATCGTATCCATTATGCCTGAAACTTTCAGTCAGGAAAAAAAAAAAAGAAAAAAAAAACGTAGAAACTTTCAGATTGTTCATAAATTTTCAGGCAGGAAAAAAAAAAGGAAAAAAAAGAGAGAAAAAAAGGAAAAAAAAAGGAAAAAAAATCGCAGAAACTTTCAGATTAAGGGGGGGGGAAARAAAAMGCAGAGACTTTYAGAAARGCCAAAAAAAAAAAAAAAAAAAAAAAAAAAACTACGCCGCAGTCAGGGTTCCAGTTTGAAAATGAACTTCAGGCAAAAGCCCTGAAAATGTCGATGAATGTATACAAGCTAGGTTTCCGGTCGGGTAGCCGGGAGGTGTTATGTTCGGGGCAATTCACCAAGTGCAATTTCAAACGGTTTTCGTGACTGCGCCATAGTTACACACGGCATATCAGAGAAAAAACAGAAAAATTTAATGTCAAATTTGATACTTGGAGATTTTGAATTCGCGCAATGTTCGGTTCTTCGTCCTTTTTTTTTTTCCTTTTTTTTAATTCCTAATTGCAAGAGTTGTCGACCGGAGTACGTGACTTCTATAGAATCTACAGACTACATAATATCGAAAATTAGGGGAAAAAAAAAGAGGAAATTTCAACCTAATTTATATAACTTCAGCGTATGCTACCGAGGGTCAAAAACACAATCCGCTGCTCAGCAGAACTACTGCAGGGAAAAAAAAGCAAAAAGAAAACAAGAAAAAAAAAAAAGAAGAAGAAGAAAAGAACTAAAACAGGAACAGACCTTTCCTAAGATCGCAAACGTTCTTCCCCCGAACACATCACCCCCTGATAACGAATGTACACAAGCTATCTTTCCGGTCCGGTGCAGTCAAAATGAGGGTGCGTAGTGTTCGGGAAAAGGCAGTACCGAGCAGCGGCCTTACTTTTCCTGCCCACCAATCTCATTCCGTTACTTCACAATTCCGCTAGACCGCAATCCCATCAAAACAACGATTCCGTTCCGTTAATTCACTTTTATCTTTCTTTTTTTCGTGTTTTTATATTCATACTAGACCGTTTAGACATCAAATCAAATGAGCAAAAAAAAAATCAAATGAACTTTTTCCCGTTGGCAACAAAAACGTAGTTATCTATCGCTCGCTTCTTCTTCTACCCCAAGCGGTGGCCGAGCTTTCGCCTTTTTGCTCCACTACTCACCAAATATGCAAAATGAGACTGAATCTTCCCCTAGAACATGGAAAGATACATGGCCATATTTTTGGTCTCTTTTACATATGGAGAGAGCAGTGGAACGAGGCCCATGATATTTTAGCACACAGTATTTCTGTTCTCTTGCTGACTCCGCGCGGGATTCCGCTAGTCCAAGAAATTACCGAATTCCGTTAGCTCACATCGTCGATTGTTAACGATCCCGTTATCTCACAACTCAATTCCGTTATAGCTCACAATCTAATCCGGCGCCTCCCCAGCTTAGATACTATTCCCTGAAGTAACCCTCTCTTAACCTGACTCCACTGCTCACATTCTACTACCGGTAGTGGTAACCCTGTCTTAACCTGTCTCCATACTATCCTCCTCTCCTCTTCTCCCCCCTCAACTAACAATTCTCCCCCTCTCATAGCCTGTGAGCGGACGATGTGTGCGTTCGAAAGCGCAAGCACAAAATTAATGCATTGCGCGAGCGCCGAGCGATCCATTGACAAGAATCCCGCACACATCTTCCAGCGCACACGCACACGCACGAGCGAGCGAGAGAGAGAGAGAGAGAGAGAGAGAGAGAGAGAGAGAGAGAGAGAGAGAGAGAAGGGGGGGGGGGGAGGGAATGGTAGGAGGGCGGAATGAAGATGGAGGAGTACGCTCTGTTTCTCACTTGTTCGTCGAAAGGCAGCGATCAGCCAGAAAGAAGGCGGTCAGAAACTGTACGTGACGGAGAAGCGTAGATATGGCCGACAAAAGGGAGAGTGAGTCGGCCGATATCACGACTTCAGTGGGTGGATCCTGCTGCGATACTTGCAGGTTATTATCTCCTGATGTCTTGCGTTGCCACTAGAAATGGTTAGACGATGGATTCTGATCTGCACACACACACACACACACAGACACAGAGAGAGAGAGAGAGAGAGAGAGAGAGAGAGAGAGAGAGAGTCGGTTCCCTTCCAGCTGGAAGAGGAATCACTGAGTCACTCTTGATGAAGTCATAGGAGATGATGGGGTTATAGGGGCGGTCAACCACCCCTCTACAACTGGTATTGAGCCTTATTCGCCGCTTTCCTGTGACTCGCAGCAATTTCACCATTACTACCTACCTACCTCTGAAGGTTAAAATAAAGGGGACCCCTGCAAAAATAGCTCCCTCTGACAATCAAGCGGATGCATGTTTCCCCCCGCCCTGATTGGCTGTGGTCAGGGAGTAGGCAGTAGGGTGGGGAGACGTTCAAGCAAAAGGCCAAAAAGCGAACGGTGCACGGCAGAGATGGCAAAAAAAAAAACAAAAAAAACAAAAAAAACAAAAAAAAACAAAAAAAAAAGGAGGCGAATGGTTCTGCTCTTTTGTTTTGTTCTTTTTTTCCCTTTTGGCGGGTGCCATCGATTTAGGGCCTCGCCACACTACTCGCCATCCGCCAACATTTTGATTGCATGTGGACATCATTTTGTCCAGATGCATTCACTATCTAGGCGGATGGCGAGTAGTGCAACTACAGGTGGGGCCTTAGGGCCTCGCCGCACCACTGTCGAAACGAAAAAAGTTCGAGTGCATCTTCACGCAGAGCGTCACCAAGATGCATCCGTTACTATGAATAGCAACGGATGCATACAGCTTTCTGCGGAAGATTCATTCTTTCGTTTTTCGTTTCGATAGTGGTGTGGTGAGGCCCTTAGCAACGCCTCGGTCCTACCGAAGGGTCTCCCATTTTTCCCCCCGTTCCACCTCACAAATGAACTTGAGGCCAGGATCCAGCGGCCTAGCTCAGTTGGTAAGGCACGCAAGTGGCACTCAGGAGGTCTTCGGTTCAATTCGCAGCCAGGAGGCTGTGCTATACCCGGTTGCATTTTCTGCAGAAGAGGATTTTCCGATCGGGAAATGTCGACGACCTGTTTAGGGGCTTAGAGCGCCGTAGAGGGGGCTGCAATCTGCAGCACAAGGGTGCGGTTGTTGTCATAAGACCGACCGGTCGCTGCGGCAGTCGCCCTTGTGCTTGGAGTTGGGGCGACCACACCCGCTTTTTTTGTGGGTGGACGAATTTTCTTTTTCGGGCTATTTGGCCATTTTTTCGTTTTTCTTTTTTTGTTTTTTCCTCTTTTCCCAGCCAAGAAGTTCAGCGTGTCTGCTATGCGTATGGATCCTCTCGACGTCCTCTACGGACGGAGGCACCAACCCCACAATTGAAGACAGACACACACAGCCCTCAGCACTCAGTTCTGCTCTTCAGCTCATCCACAATGGCATCCACACCCCTCTTCTGAGCAGAGCCTTATACCGAGCACCTTACTTGACTGACGGTCTTGCAGCACGGCACACGAAATGAAACGAAATGAGCGCATCCCACGAGAGGTGGCAAAATGCACTCGTTACTGTTTATAGCAAACTGATGAACCTGTCCATTTTCTGCAGGAAGATGCACTCGTTTCGTTTTTCGTTTCGTGTCCCATGCGGCGACGCCCTGAGCAGAACGAAGGCGGTAAGAGCAAATTTCAAGGAAGATCGACACCGCCACGATGCTCCATCCTCCTCACGTCCGGCAGACTGCTGTAATGCGTTCTGACGCACGTCTAGGGCTCTCTGTTCCACCCCCCCCTCCAGGCTGCGTCTCCGCGCTGTGCGCGGTACACAGTTCCCATTGTCCTCATGTACCTTACTGGGCAAGCTTGGTGCCCGCCACCTAGAGATAGGCCGTCGGTTTGTCCCCCGAGCGGCATTTGAGCAGAGACTGCTGATGTTCGTAGGGGGAGGGGACGGAGGGGAGGCACATCGAGTGGCCAATAGAAGACGCTCGGTCCTGATGCTACCGGCTGACCACAGCGACTGGCCCATCGAAGAAGCTAGGTCCTGATGCTACCGGCTGCCCCGTGGCCGGTATCGCCCACCTGCTGTAGCAGGTATTGCACCTGCTGACGGGTGCAGCTCCCGCATGCTCCCTCGTTGGAGGGTTGAGCACGGATGTGGTGACTACGGGGTTCCCCGCAATACTATAATGACCATAAAAAAGGCCTGAAAGGCCATCTGTCTGTAGCACCTGCTGGTGGGTGCAGCTCCCGCATGTTCCCTTGTTGGAGGCTTGAGCACGGATGTGGTGGCTGAGGGGTATCCGTAATACTATAATGACAATAAAAGAAGGCCTGAAAGGCCATCTGTCTGGATTCAACAGGTAATTGAATTGTTTGGGCTTCAAAGAAATCGCCTTAAAATAATAATAATAATAATAATAATAACAATCAGGGTTACCAGCCCTTACGTACGGAGGTCCCCGGCCAGACCTCCGTACGTACGGGCGTTCGGGGTCCCGTACGGGGTCCGAACCCGACGGCGTTCGGCCCCCGCCAAAACTTATTTCGGGGCCTATTTTTTTTTTTTTTTTTCTGAATTTTGTTTTCTCAGTTCTCTATGACGTGAGGTGCACGCCTATAAATTTTCAAGTCATTTGGCTCAGCCAAATAAGAATTAAAAATCGCCAAAGATGGCCATATCAAAACGTGTTTGCCCAAGGCTTTTTCACTTTTTACTTTTTGTTTTCACTTTAGTTCGGGGCTTAGACAATTTTATTATTTTTTGAAACTTTTTTAGTGTGTTTTGCATTATGTGAAGTACGCATATGTAAATTTTTAGAGCATTTAGCTATTCCAAAAAAAAATGAAAAATCGCCAAAGATGGCGGTGTCGAAAACGTGCTCGCGAACTCACTAAATTTAATTCTTTTTTTTTTTTTTGTTATTTTTATTATTAGTATTTGTTTTTCGTATTTTATTTTTATTTCCAATTTGGAAAGTAATTTGAATGTTATGCTCAGGCAATTTTTATTTAGTTTATTTTTCTTCATA